GAGCTTCCAGAACTCTTTCGGCAGCCAGCTATCTTATAGTAGTGCATTCCACCCACAGACAGATGGTCAAATGGAGAGAGTTAACCAAGTGTTAGAGGATATGTTGCGGGCATGTGCTGTTGATTTTCAGGGTAGCTAGGAGGATCATATTCTATTGATTGAGTTTGCCTACAATAATAGTTAACAATCTACTATAGGCATGGCTCCTTGTGAAGCATTGTACGGGAAGCTTTGTAGATCTCCTATTTGTTGGGCAGAGCCGGAAGATAGCTTATTACTTAGGTCAGAGCTTGTGAGACAGACTACAGAGAATGTAGCATTGATTCGAGAGCATATTCTTGCCGTCCAAAGTTGGCAAAAGAGCTACGCAGATCAAATGTGATGACCCTTAGAGTTCCATGTTGGAGATCATGTTTTGTTGAAGGTGTCACCTATGAAGGGTGTTCAGCGATTCGACAAACGGGGGAGCTTGCCCCGAGATATATTGGTCCATTTTGAATCATGGAACGTGTTGGAGCCATCTCGTATCGGCTAGATCTTCCAGCATCGATGTCGAGCGTGCACGACGTATTTCATGTTTCAATGCTCAAGAAGCATTTACATGATGAGGAGCAACAGAGAGTGTTTGATGCACCAGACATAGAGCTTCAGGCTGATTTGACCACCATTGAGTTTCTAATTCGCGTCTTTGCCAGGGAGGCTAAGAGACTTAGAAATAAGGTGATTCCTTTGGTTAAAGTCTAGTGGAACCGGAAAGGAGCTGAGGAGGTTTCATGGGAGCGCGAGGAGGATATACGTCGTGACTACCGTACCTATTTGAGCAGGTATATTGTTAACTTTAGTATTGTTTGAGTGTATGGTATCTATATAGTTGCATTTACACTTAACGCTGGAATGGGGATATTAACACTTAGCTCCTAATCATTAAGAACATATGGTATATGTATGGGGGTTCCTTGTTTGGATTTTTCACCTGACGTACTAGTTCTGTTTAATTAGGGGTTAAGTAAGAGTATTTGCATTCTAGATTGTTAAGGGTAAATATCACTTGTGTTTTATATCTGGAGATTAATGATGCGAGATGTGTATGTGAGGATTTCCTTGTTTGGATTATCCCCTCAGCATGCTTTTCTCGTATTATTAATCTCTAAGATACGATTGTGAAATTTTAACGACGAAATTCTTTTAGGAGGGTGAATGTAAAACCCTGTAATTTTGAGAATATTGTGATTAATATTGATAAATGAGTTTTAATTATGATAAATATCATTTAATGATGGATGAGTATGGTAGTAATTGATTTGAGATCAACTAAGTGTATATATGAGAGTATACAAGTGTTAAACATGCACAAAACGAGTGGAAACATGCACACATATGCAAATCAAATGACTCAGTCAGACCTCTGGTCGGTCGACCGATGGCAAACCATCAGTCGACCAATAGGCACCTATCAGTCGACTGATGGCAACCCATCAGTCGATCGACGGGCAGTTGCCCAGTTTGACTGGGTTTCTATTTTCGGGTCTTTTGTCTGGAATCGGGTTTGTTCGTACATATATATGTATATTTCACGAATTCTTCCTTTTTTCTTACTCATATCTAAGCCCTAGCAGCAGTCATACCCTCTCTCAAAACTTTAACCCTAAATTACAAGTTTGGCAAAGCTTCGTGAATAATAAAGTCCAACACCAAAAATCAACCCATTTGTCTTCTGCCCCCCGCCCCCCCCCCCCCCCCCCTTCCAAAAAAAAATCATAACCCTAACCCATGAAATGAGTTTGTACATAATGAAGAGCAAAAGACAATGTCAAGAGACAAAAAAGAAAAAAAAGAAGGAATTGAATAAGAATCGCTAGGTATCATATAGCATGTGAATAATTGTTTGCTCCCCCTCAAAAATCTCTAGGTTTACATTATCAAGGATCGCTAGGTTATCATATGAAGAGCAAAAAACAATGTCAAGAGACAAATAGGTTATCATATAGCATGTGAATAATTATTCTCAGTTTGGCATAATTAATCATGTAGCATGTGAATAATCATTTACAGTTTGATCATTGATCACATATAAGAGCGAGGGGTAAATTTGGTATTTAATAAATCATCTAATTTACCTAAGTTGCTCTTTCATTCAGGTTTACATTTCAATTTAAACTACATACTTATCTTCATACTATGTATATCCAATAAGAATTCATCAATTTATTAACTTACTTTGACTTAATGGATTAGTATTTGAATTCCAATAGTATTTTTGTCTACTAAAAGATTTTCTCGAACGTGTGCTTTTAAAGGGAGTATATATATATATATGATATGATATGATTAGGGGAACCTCTGGAAAATAACTTTATAAAATTATATTACTTCGCGAGACGCCTTAAAGTTTAGGGGTCGGCGGGACAAAATGTTGGGGAATTTCGTTGAATCACCCAAAAAAATGAAAAAAAAAACAAGAAAAAAAAAACGAAAAACAAGCCCAGGGTCGGCTTTTGTAAAATTTACCCATCGATCTATCCAAAGATATTTTATTCTATTAAAAACAGCTCCAAATAGGTAACGAGTAGTTTGGATCCGATGAGAACATACAAGTGCAAAGATAGGAATTACGATCTAATTAAGATCTAAGTGTTTTGATAAGATACAGATACTTAATTATAAATTACCAAATCAAAACTCCAAACAGATCCCCCTTCGAAAAAGGAGCCTCATGCACGGAACAAGTCTCAAGAAACAGCTGTACACCTCAGAGTAGTTCGGAAACGTTACAATTCCCTCTCAACAGCTTTTGACCTCGCCCCTTATATAACGTGGCAAAGATCTCTTCGAATAAGACACACAACCCTGGCTACGCCTCTCTCTCTCTCTCTCTCTCTCTCTCTGAGAATTAACCAAGATTACTCGTACTCACATCTCTCCCGTGACCAACATTGCCCTCGATCTCACTAATTGTTGCTTGCAGTCAAGAGCGAAAAATATTATTATGACGTATGGGCTGTAGATCTACTATATATTAGGGTATCGATTTAGAGGGAGCGATATCAATAGTCCATAACACCTTAGCCTTCCCGTAAATGTCTAAAAGCTTTGGTGCTGAAGCTGTGATCGTGTCACTGGCTTCCGACTACGCCCTGCCGGTCCGGTCCTGTTCCTCGCCTCGCTCTCGTCGCCCTCGCCGGAGTTGGGCGGCGACCCGACCACTTAGAGATTGAGTACATATATCGATCGAGAGGTAATGCGTATCTTTAGATCTTTAATGTATAATTCTCGACGGAAGAAATTGGACGTACGTTAGGATTTTTATGTTTTATTTGTAATTAGAGAGGTACGTGCTTTGATAAGTTCACTTTGACTTGAGTTAGGAACGAAATTATCTAAATAGAGCTGTGGTTTGGGGAGTCCTAATTAAAAGGGGTTTGTTTCTTGGAGCGTGCACGTGTACAACCAATGGGCAATTGTTTTTGCTTCGCTGTAGTATCGTTTTAATCATTAATCCGGCGTTTTATTTATTTATTTTCGCCCTGCGTATTAGGAAGTAGTTTTTTTTTTCAGTAAATCTATTAGAAATGTACTCCTAATTCCCCCCCTTTTTTTGCTTTTGCATAGCTAATCTGGCAATATATACATTGCTTTACTTTGTGATTTTACCAGTTTTCCCCTCTTTGGCAATTGAAAAGTAGTTTTCAAAGTATTTATTCCAACAATTAATAGGGAGATTGAAAATTAGCTAGGAGCACCACATTCGCTCGCTATTTTAGTCGCTTGCGCCATCTTTAAGTTTGGATGGAAAATGAAAGGGAAGAAATATGCAAACTTTTGAGACATTTGTGGAACGCACAATTTGATTCAGAGACTACGGTATTTTGCCGGGCTGTTGCGTTTAAAAGATGACTACTTTCTATTGTCCACTTTCCATGACAACAATTAGACAAAATATGTAAAAAAAAAAGTGAATGTTGCCGTTGTCAACTCAACTTTCCGTATTTTTTATTTCTATTATCTACACAAGATTTGTATATAAAACGACGAGAAAATACTTTCTTGATATAGCGTCTATTGAATTTCATTTATGCCAAGCAAGCTGTATGAAATACACGCACTCATCAGGGTTTGGAATTGACGGGAAAATGCTTTGACTTTAGTTGATTGATTCCCTTGTGCAGTAGGAATGTCACAGTTGATGTCATCAAAGATTGGCTAGAACCATTAGCTTCTACTTGAGAATTTAAGTCCAGATGTGAGGGGAAAAAAAGCCAAATTTGTGATCAATAAAATTGTTTCCCTTTTCATCAACTGAACATTTTTCTTTCATCAGCTTTTGTAATTAGCCCAATTTAACAAATGTGGTGATGAAAAAGAACCTTCCTTTTGGCTATGATATAAACACCTACTTAATTAAGTTCGTGATGACAGCTTGTTTGCGTGATCACTTAACTGTAATTTGTTTTTTTCTTATTTAGTGACTCTTAGTTGAGTTATTACTCTATGTTATTTCTTATTTTGCACAAGATAATTACAAGAGGCATTCTGTTAGAAATGGATATTTAGCAATTCCTTATATATTGTTTTGTTTTTTTGCTCTTTATTTATTTTTATGCCTTTGCATATAAACTTTTTGGAGTAATTTTGAGCGAAGAAGTGCACTGACAAGACTTTTTCATATTGAAGGACCTAGCAACAATAAGCAGAACTTTCTTCACAACTGTATTTTTTTTTAGTGATTGTGAGAATTATCAGATTTAGAGTAGGAACTCCTTGGAAGCTTACAACTACAGAGTTCCAATCTCTCTGCCATAATTCAGTGAAGTGTTTTAATTTTTTTTTTTTCGTATGCTTGTTTTGGTTCTTTTGCCATTTGATATGTTTTTTTTTTCCAGTTACATACATAGACTGAAATTTTTATTTCAATTTATTTTAATCTAAGGTGTCATCGCTTCCAACCTCCCAACTATATTGATTGCACATCTCACTATCTCTTTGAGGTAAATAATAAATCAACTTAGATAGTTTAACTAAAGCGGTTCTTTAAACTTAAATAGTTATTATTGCATTGAATTCTTCTTTTCAAGATAATTATCTCACCATATATTTCCAATACAACCAATTAGCCCTTTCATTTACCCGTATTTCAGCTATAACAATGAGGCAAATTTTAGTGTTTAGTATGGTTCATCCTAGACTTTGACATGCTAATTTTCATGTTCTTTTTTTTCACTTACAGTTATAGCCTTAATAATAGACACCTATTTCTTGGCGTAATGGCTATCATGAACTTCTTTTGATCTTCTTTACTTGTCTTCTTCCTTTCTTTTTCTTGCTTCTGTATTATCGCATTTGTGAGACACGCTTTCCATTAGATTTATAGACAGAAATATGGAATGAAAGGTGAACTAAACCAATAAATGGGGATTTACAGACAATTCGAAGTGCTAGTTAAGTTGGATGTAACTGAACATTGTCATCAATATTGTAATTTCTGTTTATCATTATGGAAGAAAATGTCCATTCATCTATATATGTGTGGATCAAGCCTAACTTTTTTAATACTATCTTCAGCTGAACTATGATGACTCAAGTTGAATAAAATATTTCCTCAATTTGTATGTGAGCATTTTATTTGTGCAATAGTTCGTGCATGCTTATATGTATGTTTTCCATCAGCTTATACCGATGTGTGTGTGCGCGCGCACATGTGCACAAGAGCTTATTGGATATATGGTTAAAAGAGCACTGCTTAGGCACTCTGATAAAATAAAAAATGGATAAAAAAAGAAAATGTGCTAAAAGACAGAAAGGATGTTTTTGTCCTTTGTATGTTTTTATCTCTTTGTTCCATCTTCTCAAAGCCATTATTTTCTCATGTCCCTGCTTTTTCTCCGTTTGCATTCCCACGAAACGCGAACATATGATTGATATCAGATTTTATTTTATAAACTAGGACACTAAAAGAGTGAAAAATATGTATTACATGATTATTTCTTTGGAATAACTTTATTGAAAACAGGATAAATAATATACATAAATTTTTATCCACTAGACTTTATCCGCATTAAATTTTAAGGAAATAAGTTCAAAACTTATCTAATGGGATACATACTTTTTTCTCAATTTATCCAAAAGTTTATCATCAACAGAATAATTGCTTCTTAGCTGCAAGCCAAGTTTAAATGCCAAATATGCTTCAAGAAAATGTTTAATTTGAAACAAGAAGGCAGTGTAGATAGGATTTGTAAACTAGCACATTATAATATTCTAACTGATAGTAGGTTCTGTTTCTATCCCATTAATTTAGTTCAGTTCCTAATTTGCCCTTATTGTTAAAAGATGAGTTGAATTTATTTATAAGATTACCCATGGCATTCTTTAACTACCTGACTCTACAACTTAGGATGGTAGAGCTGTTGGCTTATTTTCAATGGTGGGTATAGATCTCTGGAAACGTTTGTATTATTACCCGTGGCATTCCTTAACTACCGTATCCTACAACTTAGGATGGGAGAGCTGTTGGCTTTTTCTTTTTTATCTTAGTCATCTCTTTTTCTATTACAGATTATGGCTGCTTTCGAATTGAAGAGTACCCCCAAGAAGGTTTGTATTATTACTGATCTGTGGAATGTTTCTCAAAATTTTTGCAAGCCAAAGAATTTTTTCCCACAAACATTAAAAAAATTATTTGCCTAAATTGGTATCATATGGGTTTGCTTATTTGAGAACTAAGACAAATGCATTACTGGTAGCCACTCAAATCAAACTTGGAAGTTTAGATGGTAAAAATTGGTGGAGTATTGCATCAACTTATTTGTTCACTTTCTGCTCAAATACTTATATGTAACACAGATGAAGGAAGAGGTTTCTAATGAGTCAATGGCTAACGAGGATACAGAAAAGATGATCTCACCCTTTACTCTAGATGGATCGACCGACAAAAAAGGAAACCCTGCAATCAAAGCAAAAACTGGGAGGTGGAACTCAGCTGCACTACTGCTAGGTAATTAATCTCTTACCTACAAAGATTTAAAAAAAAAACATCTGCATACATGTAGTGTATCCTAATCTTAAAAAAAATATAAACATTCTCCATAATTTTAATAAAGATGACTGACATTTTAGAGTTAGTCCGTTCTCAGTCCTTGTGTGAAACAGATTTTCAGCTTTAATTTTAATCAGATTGGAGAGAATCAAATGACTACTTGTTCCCTTTAATATTCCTAGTCAAATACTAAATCAATGAAACAAATATCACTAAAGTGTTATCCTTTTTTTTTCTTTTTGGTATGTGCATGTGGTATCCTCTTTCAATGCCACCAGGACATTCCATCTTTACCATAATTTGTTCCCACAAACATCAATTCTTGTACCATTTCCTTTCTTAACAATGTCAGACTTATGACATAGATAAACAAGTAGTTCTGAATGAAACTTATTTCTCTTCTAAGTGTTAGATTCACATATGCTTTACATATCTTATATTTGTTCCCATGGCATTATATTTAAAATCATTGTGTCAACACATGATATCCATGTCCTGTGATAATTCAACGGTGTGCTACATTTGGAAATTGTTCTCCTTGAAATTTGTTTACTATTGTAGTATTGGGAGACACTGCAGACTTTGCCTAATTTCTTTTACTTAGCAGTTGCCTTACTTATTCCCCCTCTCTTATTGTATATGCAGTGAATTATGGTATGTGTACTCTAGCATTCTTCGGAGTTGGTGTCAATCTAGTTCTTTTCCTCACAAGGGTACTCCAGCAAGAAAATGCTGTAGCAGCAAACAATGTCAGCAAATGGACAGGAACTGTGTACATCTTCTCACTTGTTGGAGCGTTTTTAAGTGATTCCTATTTGGGTCGTTACCTTACTTGTGCTATCTTTCAAATGATCTTTTTGGCGGTATGTTATCATTGCGACGTCTCATTTAGAAAGTGAAAACGGGTTTATCTACTTGTTTTATTATCGACAGAGAATCTTGCCCATAGAGTTATAAATATAACAATAAGCTCCTGCACTGAGAAGGCTGAGTGAAAAAACAGCATCAAACTACATCAAACATAGTATATACTCTCATACAAAGCGACATAGTTCATATATTATGAAGAAAAAGATTACCAAATATGCATATGGAAATTTTAGTAGAAATGAATTTTGTTTTTTAAGGGAGTAGCAAAATTATTTTGTTGGTTTCCCTTTTGAAATCAAATATTCATAAGATTAGGATATTTTATTAAATTTATTTTCTTAAGAAGGTTAACAGTTATGACGGAAAGAGCAGTATTCTGAAATGAATATATGAAAAGAGTTCCTCTATTACATTTGATTTCTTGGGATAAATGAATTTATTCTCGACATCAAGCATAGACAACAAATGTTATGACCTATATCTGAATGGCACTGCCCTCAAAACACGTATATTGCTTAATCTTAGAAAAGGAGTTTAAATTTCCAGTGCTGTCTTTGCAAAATAGATTAATCACCATGCACTTAAGAATCTTAAATCCTTAGGTCAATTATAGTACCTGCCTAAGTTATTGCATCTTCCTTTGATTTTGTGAGTTGATGTCAACATTTATTCTTCTATTTTGACCTAAGCAGGGATTGGCACTTCTCTCGCTATCATCATCATTCTTATTGGTGAAACCGTCTGGTTGTGGAGATGGAAAACTAGAATGTAATCCAGTATCGGCTGCTGGCACCGGTGTCTTCTATCTCTCAATCTTCCTTATCGCTTTAGGAAGCGGAGGATACCAGCCCACAGTAGCAACTCTCGGATCAGAACAATTTGACGAAAATGACCCTATTGAAAAACACTCAAAGATTGCATTCTTCAGCTACTTCTATTTTGCTCTCAATGCTGGTTCAGTCTTATCCAACACTCTCTTGGTGTACTATGAGGATTCTGGCAAGTGGATTATGGGCTTCTGGTTGTCGACTGGGTCCGCTGCTCTAGCACTAGTACTATTTTTATTAGGGACACCAGGATATAGGCATTTAAAGCCCTCAGGAAATCCTTTGACTAGAATTGCTCAAGTCTTTGTTGCTGCAATTAGGAAGTGGAGTGTTAAGGTACCTGAAAATGGTGAAATGTTGTATGAATTGGAAGGAAAGGAGTCGGCAATTGCAGGAAGTAGGAAAGTACCTCATAGCAATGAATTCAGGTAATTTTTTTTAGTGAAATCATGTTTTCTGCACTAGTCATATCGATCATGGTTTATTACAGCAATAGACATAGTATAAGCAGTTGTAATGCTGTAGAAAATGCTCTTCTAGGATTTATGTTGAAACTTCCCTCGACTGATTATAGTCAGTCATTTGAGGATGAAGATTGAGTTTGCTTGCTAAGGAATGCAGATTGTCAACGTTCAAGATAGGAAAATACCTTTTCTGAATGAAATTGGAAGAACTTTCATCCCCTTAGGTAAGAATCTATGGTGAAAAACATGTTATACCCAAATTTCTGAGTTAATATTTTGAAGATTGTTGTAACCAGCACATTTTTGCTCTATACAATACAAATGTAATGCTTACCTGCACATTTTTGCTCTGCTCAATACAAATGTAACGCTTACCTAATTACCATTCAAACTTATAACTGTTCCATGACACCCCTATAACAAACATAGTGAAGAGGAATTCACCATTTGAATAGTACAATCAAAACCTATAAGCACCTTTCCAATCTCATTACCCTTGATAAAGCAGAATCCTCTATAATTTCATCAGAAGCCACAATTCTAATGACGCCTACATCAGAAAGATCGCGGACAGATATGAAACTTTACTAGTTGGCTCAAAATCTCCATATACTGATGAATTAAGCATATGTAACAATAGATTACGATATGTAGTCTAATATTTACAACATTTGCGTTTTCTAGGTTCTTGGACAAGGCTGCAACACTCACTGACGGCGAGTACAGCACAAGTGCATGGCGTCTTGCCACTGTAACACAAGTGGAAGAAGTGAAATGTGTTCTAAAAATGCTCCCTATCTGGCTCTGCACAATAATCTACTCAGTCGTCTTCACCCAAATGGCCTCTCTCTTCGTCGAGCAAGGAGCCGCAATGGAGTCCAACGTGGGCTCCTTCCACATCCCCCCAGCAAGCATGTCCCTCTTTGACATCCTCTCCGTCCTCTTCTTCATCGTTATCTACCGCCGGCTCCTCGTCCCTCTCCTTTCCCGTTTTACAAAAAACCCACGCGGCCTCTCTGAACTCCAACGGATGGGTGTCGGCCTGGTCATTGGCTCTCTCGCCATGCTCGTCGCAGGACTTCTTGAAGTCCAAAGGCTCAAAAGAGTCACAAACAAACAACAGCCTAGTTCTCTCTCTATCCTATGGCAGATCCCTCAGTATGTGCTTATCGGTGCGTCAGAGGTTTTTATGTATGTTGGTCAGCTGGAATTCTTCAATGGACAAGCGCCTGATGGGCTTAAGAGCTTTGGAAGCTCGCTATGCATGGCTTCGATGTCTCTTGGGAATTATGTCAGTATCATTCTGGTGACTATCGTTATGAAGGTTACTGTGGTTGAGGGGAGTCCTGGTTGGATTCCTGGCAATCTCAACTTTGGTCGTCTCGATAACTTCTACTTCATGCTTGCTGGGTTGACTGTGGTGGATTTGGTGGCGTATATGTTTTGCGCAAAGTGGTATAAATATATTAAGGTGGAGGAGAACGAGAAGAGCGAGGTCGCGCTCATGATGATCTAGATATCGGAAACTTTGTATGGAGATAGAAGTGGTAGTTTGTGCTTTGGTGAATTTTCTCGAGTTTAGTAGGTTTTTGGAATCTGATGCAGTAATAAATTAGGTTTATGTTTGAACAATTTCTGATTTAGTGTGCAGTTAAGAGTTAAGAGTTGTTTGAAAATTTATTCCTTTTCAATAATATGCTCAGTAACTTCTGGTGTAAAAGTGGTGTTTTGCTTCAGTGTCTACTACTTTTCTTCAATAATTTGTATGAGATTCCTTGTTCATTTCTCTGTGCGTACGTGTGTTTTTCCCCTTCTTTTTTTCTTTCTTTTTCTTTCTTTTTTTTTTTGGTTCATTTTTTTTCTTTTTCGTTTTCTGGGTGTTATATCTTACTCAAGCATTTAAGAAAGTTGCAAGAGGAAACAAATAAGCTCAGCATTTAAAGAAAGGACTCGGATTCTCTCCGCTACCAAAGGTAGTGCAGAGACTGTTATCTTTATCAAAGCCAATGATTTGTTCAATGAATGAATGCAATTAATTTTTAAGTGTAAATTGTTGAGTGAGTGCTACTTCTTTTTTCAGATGGAGAGCATCCAAATCCGAAAGGATTTGTCCGCCTCACACGCTAATTTGAGTTTTAAAGAGGGTTTTTCATAAATAACCCCAACATTATAGATATGATCATAAAATTACTTTCTAAATTGAGATAATTGTTATTTTACGAGGAAAAAAATGGTAGATGTCTTTCAATTTGGGGTTATTTTGATATTAGCCCCCTAAAGCTTCAATATTTCAATATTAGCCCCTAAGTATTTGAAATTGATCTCAGGTCCTACTAAATCTTCAACATTTGGATATTAGCCACAAATCATTGAAATTGATCTCAGGCTCCCCAAATTCTATTAGTATGTTGAAGTAAACTACCCCTAGTTAAAATCTGGATAAAATGTAGGGAATATTCTATTTATTTTGACTTTTTTGGTGTTTTGTCAGTTATACCACTCTCAGTCTCACACAAACCTAAACACATTAATCGCTTTACCTTATAATTGTTAAGCTCTCCAAGTTTGTTTGACAAAACCTCAACTCAAATCCATTTTCTACTTCATCTTCTCCAACATATTACCAAATTGGAATTTGCCCTTTGCAAATTTAGGATCAAGACCGAAGAGATTCGTTGGGGAAGATGTTGGAGAAGGTGAAGTGAAAATTGGACTTGGTTTAGGGTTTTATTAAACGATTTTGGGGGAGTTTAACTCGTATAAGTTAAAGTGGTTAAAGGGTTTGGGTTTGTGATAGGGGTATAACTGGTAAATTATCGAAAAAGTTAAAGAAAATATAATATTCCCCTATTTCAACTAAATTTTAACTAGGAGGCTTATTTTATCATACTAATAGGATTTGGAGAGCTTTATATCAACTTTAAAGATTTTTTTTTGGA